TCAGCGCTAGAATTATTGCCAACAGTTCAGCTTCAAAAACCGGGGTGAAATCCAGACATCCTAACGAAAAAGACCAGTCAAGTGAATGGGAGTATACGCCTACACCTGTCTTTTCATCCATTACTGAAGCATCTGTGTCTATAATATTATTCGTTTCTGTGTGTGCAAGATAATCCTGCAGTCGGCTATTTAAGACCCTGTAGGATTGTAATTTGGGCTTAGAGGGTAAAATCTAATCGAATTCTATCTTAAGATTTAGATTTGTAACCTGTGCCGCAATCACATCTCGAATTTTTACGTTTATCCTATCTAGTTGTTTCTAAACAAAATCAATCTAAGGTGTTCGAAACTGTGGCCAATAGGCAAGAAAAAAGGAGTCTGGATCATTTACAAAAGCATACTCAGTTTGTCTTGGCGCATACCTATAAAATTTCAGAAACGTCTGAACCGTTAGGGTATACGAAAACGACAAGGCAATGTAGGTAATCGTGCTTCCTGATACAAAAGATTGTTTGATACAAACCTAGAAAGCCCTAGACACAATCTCAAGGCTTCTCGTTCAAGCATAACTAGAGGCTTTATTTTTTAAGCAAGGCCACCTGAAAACAATACGCACCCAAATTCTAACATTGATCGCATATACATTTTATATATCATCGCCATTGTGCTTCTGCGTAGACCATATCGACGGCTGCTCAGTCTACGAAGAATTCCTATAAGGTGCGTTGTGCTTTAGATGCTATGCTTTCTATGTGGGGAATCCAGTTTAGGTTGGCATTATGAATTATTCCCAAATATTTAAGAGATTCCACCTGCGGAATGTGCTCTTGTTTGTAACATATTGAAATAGAGATGGCATCTGCTAACGGGAATATAAATACTGCACTTTTATTTACATTTAAGCTCATGCAGATTGCATCTAGCCATCTCTCCGGCATATGCACATATCTCTGTAGATATCGATATATAGAATATATGTCACTATGTGCCGTGAAAAATGCAATATCATCGTACAAACACCTTAACGTCCTGGCAATGCGGGATTGTGCTCACTAATGTGTCAAATAGAACTGGCGATAATACAGCGCCCTGGGGGACACCGCGAGTTTGTTTGCACTTTGACGATGCGCAACCATACCAAGTTGTCCTCATCCTCCTCGACCAACAAAGACACTGCTTCAGCGCTTTTAACTGCACTCTGCTACCCGTGCACGCTGCACAAAGAAGGAAACAAACTGTAGAAAAAGATGGGTAGACGGTTCGCTAGGGGGAGTGGTTCTTAAGAGAAAGGAAGAGAAAAGTGAGCCCCGTTATTGTCTGCTTCAGTGAGCGACACCGCCACAGAGCTCACAAAGGGATGGGGGTAAGGAGGGATAAAAGGGTAGAAGTAAAGGTATAGGAAAGAGGAAGAAGAAGCAACAACAAACTGAGGGGATAGGAGAGAGAGACAGGAAAGGTGGAAGAACGGTCACTGGAGTCCGAGGACGGGGTACACTTGCGAGAGATGTTGTCGGCGTCTGTAGATGGCGTAGAGCAGGTCCAGTAGGTCAGAGCTGCGCTGTCACCGAAGACAGCCGGCGACAGGAGGTGACGTATAGGGCCAGCCCAGTCGGCCAGAGCTACGCTGACGCCGAAGGTCGCGAGCGCGCGGAGCGCGCGGGCGCACAACCGGTCGGCACGAAATCCAGGGAGCGTCTCACTAGCTAACACTATCCAATCCGAAGCCTGTACTTCCCATAATTCCCACGAGGATGCACAATCGCAGCGCCAGATTGCTTTTTAGGTATTATTGTATAAAACTCTACGGTCGAATCCTTTCCTCCAAACATATCCCTATACTGCCATATGTGGGTATGCGTGAAAGGCGATTTAAATCGTCCATGGAGCAGCTAAAGCGGACATTCGTGATTTAAGTGCGAGAGCCTTATAAAAGGAACTGATATTCACCGCCTTCATGCAAGAAATAAATATCAAGGTGCCAGCTGGAATCGCATTGAGCGTGTCGCTCATAGTTCTACCTCAGAGCCGCGCCAGGAATCGGCACCGCTTTGGAAAGCGGACGTAATGCTGGGGAAATGTCAATGGTGCTTGCTGTGCTGGCTATCCTAAACCTTACCTAAGTATTTCCATGATATGATACAGGGTTCATGTCGGGTTAATACGAACTGTATACTTAAACCCCATTCACTTATGTATGGTCTACGTAGTACCAACCATGCAGGGCTACCACCTTCGCGAGCACAAGTGCTACATATCAGCTTACCACGTTTAGTGTTGGTAATGCCCGTGTTGCTGTTGGTATCATTACGCAACTGTAAACAACTGGTTATATAAAAGACATGCAACTATTCAACATGTCTGTGTGTACACTTGTATATATCTTCAGCGTTATTTTTTAATGTTTAGCTCAATAAAAAATTACACCACACGAACCAGACACCTGCGCTCCGCATGCTTCGCACAACAAATTCAAAAATAAAAATAACGAAACACTAATAACTCTTTACTACGCTTTATTCATACGTACCTCAATTATTTCTTATCACCATGACACGTATCCGGCTCATTTATCGTCATTGCAACACACTCAAAATCAAGCTATTCGCGTCATGACGCATAGCAGCTACACATCAGAAGCATCCCGTCTGCTCATCTTTAACGGTATTCTGTCGGTGGGAAAGCTTCACAAATACTCACTCGGAATTCTGACGCACACAGCTATTAACGGAAACGTTTAATAATTACCAAAAGGTGATTATGAAATCCGCACTCTTTGTCTACCCGTCTCGCTTCCAGCTATTCATTACCCTGAAATAGTTATAGAAAATTCAACACTAACCCACTCCTTACCATGTCATACTCATGCTCTGGTTTCCATGCATTCAAACTCAGCCTTAGATTTTGTTTGCACTCAGTATAATCATTTCATAATCACCGCTTTTCTAGCACTTTTTTATGTTCAAATTATATTAGTGTTACGCTTCTTTTGTTAGTGTTTAGTGTGTGTACATATTAAACTGCGTTATACATACCTCTGTTACTCATTTCTTATGGGAGGTTCCCTGTACAGTCTGTTTACTTTAGGACCTCCTCTGTATCTGTATAATTTCTCATTGTAATTAACATTTTTACGCACAATAAATCAAATAAAAAGCACATGTTTCTATGGTACGTGGGATATCTGCCGAACTTTCTTCTTAACTGCTGTCCTCGTCATCGCGTGCCAATTAACTGCGAAAAATTGTTTTCTAATTTCTAAGCAGAGGTCAATTTGCGATGGTGTGCTGATTAACGCGTGTGAAAACATTTGAAAGAGCTGTGTCTTTTCCACGAGACTAGCTTAACACAATTGTTTCCACTTCGCCGTGTTTGTAAGAAAAAAAAACTATATTCGATTCCGTTAACGTTTATTGCTATGGCTGAAATTTCCACTAATGGTTACTAACACCCATGAACTGAAGTCTGTGATTTTGGTCTTAGATGTTAGGACGGAGTTCCACGAAACCCTTCGGTTTTGAGGGAAATTCGCTTGCTTCTTTTTTTAGTGTATGTATGTACAGAGGAGGCGCTACGTTGTGCCACCATTGCACAAAGAAAAAATTCGTTTCGAAGAAGCGCATGTGGCTTACCAGCTGGTCTAAAGTGATGGGCCACCGCGTCTGCCCAAATATTAGAGGTGAAAACATGCTATACATAGGACAAGAATGTTTGAATACAGCTGTCTTCATGAACCACACACCGAGTTAATCGGGGAGCTACGCTAATTACATGTCCGGTGTCGTGATTGGCCGAATTTTTTTTCTACGAAAAATATTAGCGTAAGATTCATTCGTGAATAGGTTCACTGCTAGGCATATTAATATATCACAAAGAACATGCAGACGAGAGGGCAAAGAGGAAGTTGTATCTTGGGCACTACTATGTGCCAGGCCCGACTGCCACTGATTATGCGTGTTTCAGATCTTGGATACACGTCATACGTTCCCACAGTTGCATCTAAAATTCTGATCTTTCCCATTTCCGCCATATTAGTGGAGGACATATTGCTGAAAATTCTGAACGCATGCACCGCAATGGCCAAATTTAAACTCCGGAATATTCAGCGGTAAAACGTCAAATGTCGCCGAGTGATATACTTATGTCGCAGAAGGAGAGTGGCGTTTATAGTTCATCATTTTACGACACCCCCTAGGGCTGGCTTTTTCCTAGTGACTCACTTGGACGCTTCGTCTACTTCCGCTCTCCTCCTCGTGAACTATAAAACAGGCACGTTTTACTTACTTGGCCAAATGTTGATTGGGGCTGTATTTTTTTTTTTTATTCCCGTAGTCACAACACAATCCCGCCATAAAGCCCCACCCGGATTACTTCCGCTTTCCTTCCCTTTCGCGGAATCACTAGGTCTGTAAATGACATTCGGAATGGCCCTTTCCGTATACGTTCACTTTTGCCGTCATGTGCGGACGGTTTCGCAGGAAAATCCGCGTGTCACTGTCGTGTGTGGTCTTCAAAACAAACCACGGCTGCGCTGATATGCTCGGCAGAGAAATATGGCACGAAAGCGCTTCGAGTATCTGCACCACCACGCACAAAAAAAGTGACGCGCTTTTCCCGATTCGGTCTTATGTTCTTGGATGGGCGCTTTGCGGTCACGCCTGCTCTTTTGCGGTAGTGTGAAATGAGTGTACTAGCAGCTGGTATCATATATATTTCTTTAAATGGCTACTTTAAGAATTATGGGAACGCTATTTCTACGAAGAGCTGTGATTTAACAGATTTACTTTCAGGAATAATAAATACCACCGAGTCTGTGCCTGTTTCAATGGCAGCAGTTCGCCCGCTCACTTCCATGGGTTCACTTTGCTTGGCATGGCTGAATACTTTCTCTTGGAGCGTACAGTTATGAGCTAGGCAAATCGTCCACCCGGTTAAAACTTCGAGCCTTGTCGACCACATACGAACTAAATGTCCTGTCTGAGAGAACAACTGCTGCACTTTACCTTGATCTGTCGACCGTCCTGCCAATGGTGGCGACGCTCGCACGGAATGCGCAACAGCATTTTGCCTTTTTCAACGGACCCTTTTCTGGTGGCCGCCGTCCCACGTCCCCGACTGTTCCTGGTTGACCACGAAGTCACCGCGCTCTTGTCACGTTACCACTTGACGTGCTCCTCATGTTATCAAGTCTCGCCTGGTCCCAACAGCATCTGCCTGGGGTGGTTTTTCGTCACTTCCACGGACGTGGTGATAACACGCGCTTTATCTGATGTCATACTCTCGCCTTCAGTGGCCAAAATCTTGTATCGAATGGCCTCCCTGCGCACACTCGCGACAAGTAGGTATCTGAGGGGTTTCTTTAGGAACACCGAAAGCATAGAGCAACATAAAAATGACGAGAGTGGTTACTCGGGCCAGAAAGCGACGGAGCTACACAGCTTCACCCTATAGCCGTAAGATGGCAACGCAGGACTCACTGCTTTAAGGGAACACGCGTACTAGTTGTTTACTACCGTACCTTTTCTAGTGCAGTATACGTCTACGTGTTCTTGCGTATGTGATAGCGGCCTGAATCCGTCATGCGGTTGCACCATATTTTACGATTGTACGGAGCGATACCATCGGGCTGGGATCAGGCATGGATCCAATGCGAGAGAAGTGCACATGGCGTCGACGCGACGGAAACGTTGTCATGCTCCGTGTCCATGAGCACGGAGCATGGGGGAATAAAGAAGTACGGGCAGCAGCAGGAAGACGCCGTAAAAAAATGTGCAATAGCGTGCCCGGCGTGCGTCGTGGTCTTCTCTTGTTTCATCTGCCTCTCAGCTTGGCTGCTGCTGGTACGAACGTCTTCAATTATTTGTCAAGTGCGTATTTGATTCATCGTTGAAGCCATAACCTAACATTTCTGACATTGTGCTGTTCGGCGCAGAGATCTTTTTTGTGCTCTTCACTTCGCGCACTTTTTTGGCGGATTGCTTCACACGAAAGAAAATTGTTCGGAATGCTTCGCAGCACGTTTGCGAGAAAATTTTTTCTTGGCTCAAGAAATTGAGTCGCCGCTCGCATTGTTATGTTTTCTTTGTACCTCTACATCTATTCGAATTCACTGCATCAGTGAGATTTTGTGAAAAGTGCAGCTAGGCTCAGTATCGTCATCTATGCCGTTTGCAAATTGTTTGAAGCTCTAACGAGCCCAGCAAGAGAGAAGTGGTGAATATAGAAAATTGTGTGCCAGCTAAAGCTAGGACGTAATGTAGGAGTAAACACTCCTGCCTCGTTGATGGCCTGCATGACAACTAAAATTGCTTTGTTTTTGCTGCGGCAACTGCTTGTGACTCTTTTGGTGAAAGAACGATGTAAAGTGTGTAGGAGAAAATTAGTGGAAAAGTGGGAAAGAAAACGCTGCCAACATTTTTCTTTTCTTTTTTCCGTTCATGCTGGAGTCAATTGCTGAAGCAACTACGGCCGTGTCGCCTTGTGCACTGTATGTGTAGCTGTGTGCGTTTATTGCAGTTTTGCTCTGCTGCGGTTCTTCTCATATTGTTGCCTATATTTTTATTTCTTGTGTGTAATTTGTAGTCACAATATGGCAGCTGTATTTCCGCGTCTCGCAATGCAATGAGCCTCTCTTTGTGCCAGCGTTTGTCAAATATTAACAAAGTGGGTATGTGCTTACCCCAGAATATAACTTGAAAATAAAAGTTCTCGCTCCTCCAATGATTGTCATGTTTTAATTAAAATATGTGCATAGACACATTGCCATCGTTTGCTTTCCGCTCTAGCGGTGCAGCTTACACAAAGCTCATCAATGCATGCTAACTACGCGTTAAAAAACAACAAAGTATGGGCTTAGAGACGAGCACGCACGTAGAGGTGGTCTCTAAGGCTGTATATTATTGCTAGTCACTAAAAAATCACCTTCGAGACAGTCTTTACTGTGGCCTGCATCTCCGAGGCTGAAAAGTTTCCCCACACCCATATGGTGCACAGCGAACCAAAATCAGCCGCAGGGGCCTATAGAAGTGTCCTCTCTTAGCCTTTTATATTACTCTATGCCGATAGCACACTGCTCGTTGGCAAATGATTCAATTCTACGAAAAGATAACCAGCCGTAAGCAGGAAACGAACCTGCTCACGGCTGGTTATCTTTTCATCCACTTTTCCTTCTTCCTATTTACATTCCATTGGTCTATAACTTCCCCTGTACATTCTCTTGTTTTGTTCACCCAGATTTTTCACTATCGCGAAGGCTTCGAAACATTTTCGGTAGATAGCAGTGTTATCTGCCATGGTTCTCGCCGAGAAGCCTCTTGCGGAAGCGGATGTAGTTCTCCCAGTCAGGCGTCCGAAAAACAGCTGGTGGTCTGGAGACGGTGACAGATCGGTGTCCGATCTTTGAGCATTGTCTATGATGCCTGCTGCGGTTTGATGCTGGAGTCGTGGCCGGCAAGCTCACGCAGTCTTTGCCACAAATGTCAGAGAACATGCGAAAGTTGCGCAACAGATTCATTAAGCCAAAAGCCTTAGATTTCTCATCAAACGAGAATACTGACCGTAGGCGACAACGCGAGTCACCCAAAAAATAATGGTCACGTGACATCACAGGTCACCGAAATTTATTATGTTACATGACGTCGCTATGGCTCGACGTAGTGGCACCATCAATGTCATCATCGCTTCTACAAAGTTTAAGCTATCGCGGATAGCTTATATTATATATATATATATATATATTATATATATATATATATATAATATATATATATATATAATATATATATATATATATATATATGATAAGTCGTCTTCGGCGAATGCAGAAAAGCCGTATGAGTTTCTGTTTCTGGCGACAAGTCGGTCCACATGCAGAATATTGATTTATTCATTTATTTATTTATTTATTTATTTCACTACGCGCACAGCACCAGAAGGCATTACAGAGGGGAAGGGCATACAGCACGCGCACCGCCTCCTTCGTTCGGGTGGTCCTCTTGTACTTATGGTCGCGCTGAAGTGCCAAGAACTGTGGCCCTCTCTGTTACAAGAGGATGAAGTCCAATGGTGCAGTCAGTTCTTCCATTTAGATTCGCTTTGCAAAACACCGCGTACCACGTGCCTAATTATAGCCCCAGATAGATCGCAACATTGCGCGCTTCTCCGTCTTTCTTTTTTTGTTTATCAGGAAGACGGTATATGAACTACCATAGTGGACAAAGGGGAAGTTATTAGAACAAATAGAATGTAAATAAGAAGAAAGAAAAGAGGGTGAAAAAATAACCAGCTGTGAGCAGGAATCGAACTTACGACCTTCAAATAACGCGTTCGATGCTCTAACCACTGAGCTATCACAGCAGCCTTCCCTCCACCCACTTTTTTGGGTTTATATGTGAATTTAGAAGTAGGAGTGTCAGTCGGCGCCCTCTGTAGCCAAGCGGCGAGTGTGAAACACCCTTTTATGCACATGTGTGGCGTCACGTAGCACGTGAACTTATTACGAGCGGGCAGCTGACCAATAGTCCCTCGTATATATATATATATATATATATATATATATATATATATATATATATATATATATATATATATATATATATATATATATATATGTTTGTGCGCGTGTAATCTCCAGCCCTTGTGACGTAGTAGTTAGTAGTCTTTCAATACGCACTAAAACGTGAATAAACTATCAGACTGAAGGCACTCAATAATCTCAAGATTAGTCCCACAAGCGGGGAATTCGATGAAGGGCTCCATGGGATGATGATAATGCACAGATGAACAAATGCCTGATAAAAGCTCATTCATTTATACAGATGCGGAGTTGACGAATTTAGAGAAAATGCGAACTCTCCCACACGCCCCCCCACCTCCTTCCAACCCCTTGGAGGCGCCAATGTTACTGTCATCTTTAATTGCGTGCAGCTGCACGGTTTGTTGCGCGTAGCGAGTTTGTTCATCTCTTAAGCTTCATCTCTCTTTCTGCCCAACCATCATGACAGGCCTGTACTTCCACATCGTCGGAGAAGGCGTGGTGCGACTCACGGACAAGTCCAAAGTGAACACGTCCGACCGGGAAAACTACATCGACTTCCGCATGAGGCTGCTCGGCGAGAACACGCCCAAAGGTGAGCGCATGCAAAATACGACGAATACGCCTCACTGTGTCGCTAAATTGTGCGCGCACACGCACGGTGACCCACTTTCAGTGCATGCATGGACACACAATTACAGTGCGCCGACAGGAAGGCACGCACTGTGCCGGTTACTGACACATTCGGCGGCGCATGAACACGCCAAGAATACCTCCGAGGGCCTATCGATGAACTATCTGTTACAAACAAAATGATAGCCATGCAATGAACGTACCTGACAAGAGCCCTAAACTTGCAGGCATTCATTTTTTCATTGCCTTTTTTTTACCTTTCTATTATACTTCATTATTGCATCTGAAGAGAAGTTTTGCGTGTTGCGGAGTTTTAACCTTTTTAGCACATTGCCAGGAGGTTTAATAAGCACTCTTTTGTGAAAGCGATATTAAAGTCGTGAGCCCGACGCCAGGCGACAAAGGGCGTGCAGTTGAGGAATCTTGATGCACAGGCGAACGATGTTAGGCCAGTTGCGTAACTGAGAGGCGAAAAAAACTGCATCGTGCGGGTGTCGTCCTTCTCTGTCCTCGTTATATGAGCTCCGTTTTTTTTTAACTTCTTCCCTAATGCATAAGATAATTGTACGGACATCTTCTTTTACTCTGAAGAATGCAGTGCTCAGAATTAGTTCCCGCCCTTCTTTAATTAACGGGGTTTTTCAGAGCATTGACACCATTAGTGGCAAGTTCATCAATACTCAGTGTGCACGGGTCCAGGTATACGGCCGGGCGCGCATGTCGGGCTCGGGTAGGCCGACGTCTTCTCATCTCAGGTCTGGGCATGGCTTGGACTATTCATCTCAGGCATCGGGTGGGCCGGGCCTGGTGCAAAGCACGCATCAAACCGATATTGATTTATTTGTGGGGTTTAACGTCCCAAAACCACCATATGATTATGAGAGACACCGTAGGGGAGGACTCCGGAAATTTTGACCACTCGGGGTTCCTTAACGTGCACAAAAATCTGAGCACACGGGCCAACAACAGTTCCGCCTCCACCGGAAATGCAGCCGCCGCAGCCGGGATTTGATCCCGCGACCTGCGGGTCAGCAGCCGAGTACCTTAGCCACTATAGACCACCACGGCGGGGCGTATCAAACCGATAGTATAGACGTCTTGCCGAAATTGTTTTCGAGCACATAGCGATGAGCCACACACAAGATCACCTTCGGGATGATATGCCCATGAAAGCATCCTCCTGCCCTGCACCCTAGAAACTAAACTTATGAAAGTCTAATTATTACAAGCCCGCTATGCTTGTCAAAAATATGTTGGCGAATTTGGGCAACGAGTGCGAGCAGCGAGCGGAACTTCAGTTCGGCGGGATATGTGATGCAGGTTTGCCACACTTGATAAGCCTGAATTACTACGCAGCTTGTTGTTTTCACAGAATTTTGAATTTATTATTATACACTAACATATGTATCATTTGCTTATGTTTGATTTTGATATCTTGAATAAAGTTCCACATTATCGGAAAATTATATCGTAATTGTCTCCGCAGCAAACATGTCGGGCAGGACTACAGGCCCGGGTTTCTCTCTTTATACGTCGGGCCGGGTCGCACGGGCTCGCAGCCCTCTAGCATCAGGCTCGGGCGGGCCTTAGACGCAGCCAGTGGGACCGGGCCGGGCTCAGGCTCAAAAATCAGGCCGCTCACAGCTCTACTTAGCGCACATATGATAAAGACACACAAAAAACTTATTGACTTGGACTAATTCGGTGTTTGGCTAACGTACTCGGCAACATCCACATAATTTGCAATGTTAACTGTAGCAATGATGCTCTGTATACCAAGGCATCAAGAGTAGAGCGAGTTCATTTTACCGCGGTAGGCTAAGCTTCATCCCTCCACGCAGGCTCACCTGCTCGAGTGGTGTTTCTCTCCCCGGGCGTACACTCGTTCCCGTTCAAGCTGGGCCTTCCCCTGGGACTTCCCTCTACTTTCCTGGGCAAGCACGGCTGGGTCCAGTATTTCTGCAAGGCAGCTCTCAAGGAGCCCAGCGGGCTGACGCACAAGAACCAGCAGGTCTTCATCGTCATGAGCCCCATCGACTTGAACCTAGAGCCGACCTTACTCACGGTACTATTGTTACAATGTCATCTCAACTACCGATGTTAAGCTTTTCTCGCATGCATTCTGCAGCGTAAGTTGAATATTTTCTGGACAAATGCTATGGCACGAACACAGTGCCTTATTCAGCAACCATATAACACATTTACTTTACGCTATCGCACCCTTCACATTTAAAAATCTTGTTACAATATTCGTCCTGTATTAGGAATTTCACTGAGTGCTGATCAATGGTAAGCTAAACGCGAAATATAGCCTAAGTATGTCATACATGGTAAAGTGTTGTAGCCCTTACACAAAACATTAATGCTTCGAAAAAGGCTATGTGCCATTTAAAACATTGCGACGCGTAGACTTCCTGAAAATCGAAGAGAACAAGAAACTTCGACGCACACTAGTAAAGAATATCGAGTGATTTCTTTCTCAGTTCAACAGTTTTGTTTCCAATAAATTTTTATTGGTTGCCTCGGAAGTTTCAGTCGTGAGTTCAGGTTTGCAGGTCTTCCTCTATCATTTCAGTAATGTTTAATGTATGGTGCAATCAAAATGTGTGTAAGTTTAAGCGTGTCTTTAGTAGGACCAAGTGCCCATTTATATCCGTGCATCACTCCTGGTCAGTTGGACAATCGCCTTCTGGCAAAAAGCGAAATTTTAAGATACTGTCCTTCCTGGACCTCAACGCGAGTCGCTATGAAGGCGCCACCGCGATTTAGAGACAGGACAGAACGACGCGTAGAGACAGGACTACGTTTGTGTGTTGTTTTAAACGGTCCGTTGCAGTGTAGCTACAGAAGGGCGGAGAATCGGGCCAACTCGTACTCCATGATCAGAAACGTCATAGCGCGGAAGGAGGAACGAGAAAAGAAGGGACACGGACAAGCGCTTGTCTGCGTTCCTTTTTTTCTCATCCCTTGCGTTGCTTCCTCGCTATGACCGCCGTTACTGACTATCTCCTTCTCTTTCATTCACTCTCACCTTTTTTTTTCCTGTACGCCATAGGTAACCGCAGATTATCCCCGGCTAGCCTCTAGGTCTTTCCTCAACCTCTCTCTCTTTCTCACTCTTGCGCACTGTAGACCCAATGACTAGTACTGGGCACAATTACCACGCAGCAACCATTCCACTGCGAGGTGGAGGAGAGTCTCGGCATGGCGTGCTTCTCGTCGGGCCGGCTGTCATGTCGCGTGAGGCTCGACAAGGGCGGCTACGTGCCGGGCGAAAGCATCTGCATCTTCGCCAGCATCGAGAACAACACGCGCGTCACCATCCGCAAGACCAGGGCCGTGCTCACTGAGGTATGCGATCTGTGCGCACATGCCAACGTTTACGCCAACCCTTCTTGACCTGCAGCTCCTTGGTGGCGACGCAATACAGCATCGCGTGCTGGAGTTCAATCAGGCTTAGCAGATTTTCTTTTTAAACACCTGTTCAGACGTATGTACGAACCTGTATCTTGTGTTATGACCAGTCATGCAAGCGATTACGAGTGAACGAAATATATAGTGCAAAAGAACGTGTTGCTGGGTTGTTGTTCGCTAGTTGGCGTATTGTAGCCCTGAAGCAAACTCACAAAATAAGTCCGTCTTCTGTGTGTCTGTGTGTGTTTTGGGTGTGCTTTACTACAAAGGCGTCGATATCTACAAATTGATCCGTGTTGTCATCCGAGGTATTTTAATGAGGCAATACCAAACACGCCAGATCATACCTGCACAGTTCATATTGAATTGTACTTAGCGTAACATTGACAAAGGATTGCTTTTCTATTTTACTGAATCGTATGAAGTTATACAGCATGCAGCAAAGGACCACCTGATTCCTGCGAAACACCCAAAGCTCTTTTTTTTATCGATAATGTTAAATGTGAACACCCTTAAACAATCCTGTCATGACTAATGGCCTCAAAACTTCACTGCAAGATCTTCGAGGTACAAAAGTTCTCGTTACTGCTTGTTATGTTGAAACTTTGATTCCGGTAGAGAAAGTGTTGTTGTAGATGGCGTTCGTGGTATGACAAACATCGACGGAGGAACAACGCAGCGATACGCTGTTACAATAAAGCTTCTTGAGCCCAGCCCCACATGCTCGGAGACCCATTTCGATCGCTGGCCTGAGTACAGCTTGTTATTTCTCGCTCGAATGACTTCGACCGCGTGGACGTGTGGTGAGATATAAACACAGCAACTGTCACGTACTCCATTGTGTTCGCAGACGATCCAGTACACGGCCAAGAACAAGGTCGTTCAGGCTGAGACGCGCGAGCTGGCGTTCCTGGAGAAAGGCCGCATCGACGCAGGCACCACGGACCAGTGGCGCAACGAGATGCTTTACATTCCACCCATACCACCCACGAACCTGCGCGGATGCCACCTCATACGGATCCAGTATGACGTATATGTGAGTAATACACATGTCTGTATGCTCCTCGTTAAAGCTGTTGTCGTTAACTGTCATGTTTTATGTCTATAGCGGGGAGCAATTTTTCGGACGCAAGTAAATGATATGAATCAGAAGAAAAGACACATTGAAAAACAGAATGGTTTCTTTCGGCTGCGGGATCGTCGGAATAACCAAGTTATTTTGAAGTCAGTTTTTCTGACCAAGGCTGGTTCCACAGCCGAAACGTTAAGAAACTATTCTGTTTCATTTATAAGTATAAGAGCGATACAACATCAGACATTGTGATAGTTGTTCGTAAATTAGATTGGTCGTTTACGAGCGATGCTGTGGCGGCATGCGTCACGTTCGATTGGTCAAAATCGACCACTCTGAATACGTTAGCATGGTTATTTCATAGCACAACGCTCCAACTCCGAGCTCTCTGAAAGGCTCTCAAGCGTGACCGGCACCTAGGCACGTCACCCCTGCGCCTCGTCTCTTTGCAACAGTAGACGCGGTAGTGTGTTTCCTCTTCCGGCGTCCAATCGCTGTGCCCATGGAAGAAGAAAAAAAAAAGAGGGAGCATTATGTCAAACGAGTGATGCCCACCTTATCGGCTCAACACGTGATCAGAACGTCAGACTTGCGTTAGCTTTTAGTATTCTCGGTGTTGTTCCGTCTTTGAACCACCTGCGTGAGCCGGCTTGTCTGCGCTGAACCAGCCCGTTTCGATTAAAAGCTACCGGGTGCGTGCTCCGAAGTATCGGCAATTCTCGTTGCTGGCATGATGTTGTGCAAAAGGTCACGTGTTGGATCGACAATGCTTGCTTCAAAACGGCACGGCTTGCCAAGACTGCCCGCGTGACGTCACGTTCCCTTCTGTCTTGTTTTCCCTCCATGGCTGTGGCGTGTTACTGAACGCGCGTTCGGCTCGAACGCACTTTCTGTGGCTCAGATTAAGAATGGGCTCCTCATTGTTGAAATCTCAACGAGAGCGTGGCGGCGCCTAGCTAAATGTAGCATATTGTCACAATGCAGAAACAGCAGCAGTTAAATACAGGAAGCTCACTTTAATTGTACCAGAACACTGGCAAGCTGATCTGAAGAGAACCTTGTCTTTTTCTCTCGCTGCGCGTGTTCTTCGTTGTTTTCTTGGTGCTGCATATTCAATGTGGCAATATGTTGCAACCGTCTGACGAGAATGAAATAGCGCGAATAAATGGCACTGTGAATTCGCCATGGACGGTGATCAATATTGACGTATACGTTTTGTGGGAAACAACAACTCGTTGCAAGGTACACTCAGCTTTTGCAATTGACTTCACGAGTTTGAAATATAAGAATTATATGATCATATGAGTCTGAACTACGACTTCATTAGGAAGCACGCCCGACTAATGTCTACTATCTAATGCAAATGAGTTCCGCGGATACCCGAATAGTGGCGTAAGGGTTAAGAAAATAAAAGTAGACAACTTTCGGCAACTAAGAAGCTTTTCTTCGTGAGAAATCTGTACGGATTTCTTTGTGGCATCGTGCTACAAAAGGGTGGTTGTCTGCTTTCCCTCTCGAAACTCTTCCGCCCCCTTGCGGGTATCCGCAAGACTCATTTTCAATACTAGTGTTGATGTGCTTCGCAGTGTCGACGAATTTCCCCTCTAGCTACAGATTGCTAGCTTCCTGGTTAGCTCAATCGGTAAAGCAACAGCCCCGAAAAGGTGTTGGTCCAGGGTTCAAACTCCGGACCGGGACGAATTTTTCGGCAACCAAGAAGTTTTATTTCTGAGAAATTCGTACATTCTCAAAATATAGAGAACCGTATGGTTGTCTATTTCTTATGTCTGCCATCTATTGTTCCTGAAATGTGTAGCCAACGCAAGATTGTCTTTGCATCCAGCCCCTGTCAAAAGGCGGCCGCTGCGGCCTGTATATGAAATGTGGAGCCTTGTATTCATTAGTGCAATGTCATAGCTACTGAAGCACATATCTTCAAAATGTATTGTTTTGTCCACTTCTTTATTTGTAGTTACAATGTATAGTTCATAATTCATAATGCGTTTTTGATGTAAGGAAATGATTTCTCGTAATGACGAATCAGCTAGATATCTCGAAGCTACACTCGGCACCTTACTTACTCACGTAACCTGCGTACTTTAAGATTGCCAGCTTTCTTGTTGAGTTGCCAATGTCAGGCGGCTTATTCTCACCATTTGGTGTTTGGTAAGTCAGTCGGCCAATGAAACTGCGCTGACAGCAGTGTCGTTTCGGGACATTCAAATTTCATCTTACGCATGGTACATTTTAATACGTTAGTTTACGCAATGCACTCGCGCCGATTAAAATTTTTCATTTGCGCTTTACGGACGCAGTTCATCATTTCGCCCAAGGGACCGGGAAAGGAAATCCGCCTGCAGTTGCCAATCATGATGGCTACCTACCCGATACGCAACAGTGACGGTACGCTGCAACGAAAGAAGGGCACCCACTACCCTACTGTGCTGCCCGTCTTCAGGCCATGGCTTAACACGGACAAGTTCAAGACGTAGCCACAACTTCCCAACTCAGTGTCCGTCTTTACGCTTCCTTAAAATCCCTGGGTAACTTTCTTTTTAGCACCCGTTTCGGTGTTGCTGAGCAAGGTTGTATCATCACCGCGGTAGATGTGGATTGTGCGAGCATGTATAGTGCCGCTATCATTTGCAGCCGTTATAAACTCCATGGCTCGCGGTGCCTAATGTTCTTACCTGCACAACCTTTCGTGTGCGCCGTGTCTGTAGCATTTGTTAACGAACACAGGTGCTGACGACGAGATTGTACTTTGAAGATAGAGAAGATGTTAACATCCGATACCCGCAATGAGATCCGACGAAGCGTGTGGCAAAGACAAGTCGAAGTCAGTTGTCTGCATCCTCTCGTCTATAAGTGAAGGACAGAGAGAGAGAAATAGTGAAATAAAACACAAAGAGGCGAGTATTTGGGGTCGACCGAATCCTTGCTGGTGCGAGCCTGATGAAACGATACAAAATGCGTTTCCTCTCCACAGATGGTAGAGTTGGATAAAATATTGACTACGTTGCTTAGCTCGTGATTTTGCTGTATGAATATACCGCTGCTTACTTTGCTTTGCAACTTTTTTCATCAGAGCGATTTGAAGACGTGCGAGTATACGGTGCCGAAAAGTGATGAGGAATTTTTGTTTTCTAGCAACTCAGCAAACTCCAACTTTACATTGCCTTGCACTTACAAGAAACATAATAATTGTGAAACCCAGATATATCGGAACTCTCAAGCCCAAGGGTAGAAACTCAACGGGGGAATTAACATAGCTATAGACGTCAAAATCGAAGGCTTTTATCCATCAATTCCTGACGCAGCTTCGTGACCATATAGGCCTATATATCCATGTTAATGTGTGTGTGTGTGTTAGTTAGGAATTAGAGTAGTTTAATTACCAAAAGCACGAATAACGCGTGCCTAGGATATAAAAATCTTGTAATCGCGAGACCAAGGAACGACAATTATATAAACTGCATTACACGACATGAACGTTTCCGGCTAAACGTGCCAAAGCGATCTCCGCATCAGTAACAATGTTTATGTAATTTTCCTTTTTCCTTTCTGTACATTGCGTGACTGTCCAAACTGCTTCTACTCGTATTATGTAATGTGTACATGTAAACATTACATTTTACAGTAAGTTTGCTCTGTCTACACTAGTTTAACTTCATCTTCTAGTGAGATGTATGACCGTAGTGAGATGTATTCTCCGAGAAAACTTGTTTCAAGAAGTTTGTGTTCTCTACGCATGTGAGTCGGCTAGTAAATGCACTGCCATGACGTTGAAGATTATCAGTACTGTTTATGTTACATTGTGAAATATACTCTGGCGCATATATGTAGCATTTCCTAACATAATAAATGCTCAGGACGGGTAGCTAAGCCGTCAGACTTTGTTTCTTAATTAGTGGTCTGTGCAAGTTTCTTCTTTATTTATTCTTGCTTGCCACCAAATGAATTGCCGTAGCAAGTTGTTTTCTTGCTGGTATGCTTATGTTGTGCGTTAGTTCAAATGATATGCAAGTGCGCAGTACTTGGTCTTCTTCCAATATAAAATATATTTGTTCATAGAAACAGTCACTGAACCAACGGACTCATGTGGCATATACTTTTAGTCTCGGAACTGTACTTACGTTACGGGAACAAAGAACAACGTCATTTATTACCAGTTTTCAAATAAAGACTAGACTTGCACTGCACTAGAGCTAATTCAATACCCTAGTGGAAGAGTCGATCACACCAGCGTGTAGTACTTTGTTGGGTAATAAATTATCATGCATTTCTGGCCTATTCGGCCGAGAAAACAAGTGAGAAGTTGCCACACGAGTTTTCGAGAAAATTCTATTCCTGCGTACACCCGCTTTATTTTAAACTATTACCTGGAAACTATTTGGTGCTCTTAAAATGTGCGAAGTCATGTTAGTTTGCTGAATGAATATTACAGCGTTCTAACAATGAGTGTCCCATCTTTGCGTCGTTTCGTGGCTTACTGTACCATGCCTCGGGTAGCGGCGAAACTTAAGTGCTCTTCATTTAGTACGAGTGAGACTTGCTTGAGAGGAACGTTCCTGTGACACAACTTGCAGGCATGGCCGCCTGCTTGTAAGCGAGCATAAAGTCAAGCTGGCATATAATCTACAATTGTATCAGCAAACTAGTTGATTGTACAAAAAAGAAAAGTGTTGCATGCTTGCGTACGCCTAATAAAAATTATGTTCCACAAATGTGTTCCTTGTAAAATTTGAACTGTCATTTTATGAAGCAGCATTTTGCCTGCTAACCTGTCTTCAAACGAATGCGAGTTCTGCTCGCTTTAATACAATTAGTGAAAAAATGATTTTGTTAGACTCGCGAAAACCTCCGCGGGATTTTCTACCATTGACGTTTGCAGTATAGGTTATCGTGTTACGCTAAGTTCAGAGATGTATAGAACATTTAAACGCCAAGGAAAGCTAGGAAAGTATGCTGATATTCACATGTTGGCGCAGCGTTGTGTAAACTTGTTTTATGTTTTAATGAAAATGTAAGTGAATGATATAAACTTATAGTCATATGCATAATGGTGATACTACAGTAAGGTTTTAGTTTCTCAAATGCAACAGTGAAATTAGGTAAGAAACTAATAAAAATTTACTCTAACAGAAAAAGTTTATGGCTTCAAGCACCTTGGAAGCTCGATTGACACAATTGACAACGTTTTTTTAAAAAAATGACAACGTTCGACATTCATTCTAGCGATTAAGTTAAGCGAACCATTAAGCGCACAGGGGCGAATGAAGTTGGGCACTTAAGCACAAAGCTTCTGGTTGTTTCGAGAAACATGTAAATTCGTTCGAATATGTGGAACATTTGTGTGATAGAATGAGCATAGATGATTTTTCACCATGTTGTTTCTCTTTGAGCAGAATAAAGAACGTTTATGTGTATTGTTGTGGTACTCACTATCTGTCTTGAAACATTACATGTACATAACACCTATTAAACACATGAAAAAGCAAAAACTTGAAGCACGCTTGAGCTTCTTCAAGAGAACTCGACAACATGTTCGGGCCCCGTTTTCATCGCCTGCTAAATTGCTAAAGCAGCGCTTCATTTTTTCGAGAACGTATACACCATTCCGCAAAGAGATTGTGTGTAAGGTTTTTTTTTGTTTACCGCGCCTTGATTTGATTTCATTTTCTGACCTAAAAGAACCTTCTACTGGGGCGTTACGCCTGCTGCTAGTACAACTGCCAAGTGTCAACTGTGTCATAATTGTTCCCTTTGCGAACGGGCGAAGTAACCACAAGACATCCGTAAGGCAACGGGCGGAATCGCAAAGCTTCTCACTTTGCTCATGATGTCGTCGATAATGGTTGGTGTCTAAAAAATGTGAGAATGCTTGAAGTGTGTCTGAGAGCTTTGTAATTGGTGGGGCTTTAAACCAACCGCTCGTTGTGCGATTCAGAAGTTTTGACGTCTGGTGCGGTTTTATGCTTCTGCAACGATATTTTACGAATTAAGGAGACTCCTGAGGCGGCGGCATTTGCGATTGAGGCGAACATGCTCGAGCTCCGTGTACGTAGATGTTGGTGCATGTTAAAGAGTGCCAGGTGGTCACCACTTCCGCATCCCCCCACTGCGGCGTCGAGGTTTTGGGCGTTGAACTCCCGCGATTACTACTACCACTATTATTATTATTATTATTATTATTATTATTATTATTATTATTATTATTATTATTATTATTATTATTATTATTATTATTATTATTATTATTATTATTATTATTATTATTAACGGGACTCCTCGTGCGATGCGACATTCTGTGAGGTGTTTCTTTTTAGAAACGAAGCTCTTTAAAAGAACACTGACGTGGTCTTGCATTCGCGAATATATTGCGAATTCGGTATCTGCCACCTTTGCAACGCACTAACGGTGGTTATTTACGCTATTTTCGATTTAAAAAAAACGGCTTGGACCGAAGAAACGCCTCCCGGCGCACGGGGAGCACGGGAGAGAGAGAGGAATGGGGCGGTGACGTCAGTTGCGGGATCGAGCGGGCCGCTGGGGTCGCTTCGAGACTGTGCCTAATTTCTGTAGCAATCTGCCACCTAACCAACCATCAGTTTGCCAGTTCGCGGGGATTTCCTGTCATTGCACCGTTCTCTTCTTCTGATTAGAGATTATTGCCATCCGAAATTCATTAGTTGTCTTTGTGCGGGGCTGAAATGGACTCACGATGCCAAATTACTGCGTGGCATTCGGCTACCGCAACACTTTTCGTCGCGATGAGGTCACTTTTCACAAGTGTCCTCGGGATCACAAGATGGTTGGAAAATGGGTTTCTGCAGTTAAAAAAAATCCTTCAAACGTATGAGATGAAGCGTGGAAACTTGGGCAAGTTGGTAGGACATAACTGAATTCAGGAACAGCGCAACCTACAAGTAGTTACTTCGTAACTACTTGTAACTACTTTGTTTTTTTCGCTTCCGTAGTTACGAAGTAACTACTTGTAGGTTGCGCTGTTCCTGAATTCAGGTATGAGATGAAGTTGCTGGAATCGGCAATTAAGCGTACACGACTGAACAGCGCTGTGGTTCCTTCTTTGTTACGGCACCTGAAGAGGCCCTCGCCACCACCACTCATTGCCTTCGCGAAAAGAAAAAAAAAGACACAGCATATCCACGAGGTGAAGGATGACGAGTGGAAGCGTGGACGAACGGACAGAAGGACAGACGGACGGGCGCATGGACGAATGCAAGGACAGATGCGCGGAAGGACTGACGAACGCTTTGCCCCACTCATCGTCATTCATTTCGTGGATATGCTCTGACACCGTTTTTATTGACATGCAATTAAACGCAACTGCCTGCCACGACGACTACGACGACACGGGACATACGACCCACGGCGTACGGAACTTCGCATGATCCACCGCGTTGTTAACAAGCGGGGCGGTCTGCGAGGCCGGTACGCGCTTCGGCTCGCCCATGTCTTCGTGACCAACCGGATTTTCTACGCCTTGCCTGATCTCCGCACTAACAAGCAAGAAAATGAAAGAATTGACGCCCTTATCCGCAAGGCTACAAAGACAGCTCTGGATCTCCTAGTGGCTACCTCTAACACAAAACTCATGGCGTTGGGTGTGCCCTTACACCTACCAGGAGTTGCGGGAGGCGCACATCATAAATCACTTTACGTGCCTCATGCAGACACCCGTCGGGCGCCGCCTGCTCAACCGCTTACACATTCAACGCATTTGCGCTCCAGCGGAGGCGGAGTGTATTCCAGAGCTTTGGCGCCAAATGCGCTGGGTCACTCCGATCTCCACTAACATGGACGCTCACACGCTTGAAAGCAGGTGACAAATGTGGGCTCAGACGCTTGAAAGACAACATGGTTCCCGACCTGTTATATACTATGTAGACACAGCAGGGGCGACGCCCAAGGGATTTTACACGGCCGCTGTAGTTCACCAGGGAATGCAGGTCAATGGGCTCTCCTTCAGAGCACAAAATTACGAGCGGGCTGAGGAAGTTGCGAAAGCGCTTGCGGCCGCGGATCGCAATTCGAAGACAATAATAATGTATTTGGAAAAAAAAATAGGATGTGCTCACTTCCATAAAAGGGAAGGTATCCACCTTAGCTAGCCATATTCTAAGACGGACTGCCGCTGAACCTACCCCGAACGCATGATTTGGGCTCCTGGCCATCAGGGTTGACGTGGTAATAAGGTCGCAGACGTTGCCGCCCGTGCGCTTACCCACCGGGCTCCTCACCCCAGCTCTTATGACTCAGAGGCTAATACACCGCTGCTGTGGTTCAAAGAAGATATTTCTTATTATCGCGACACTCGATCACCGCCTTTTGCAGTGGGGTCATGCTTTGGCCCCCAAATTCTTTTTTTTCAACAATAAATGTTTTCACAATCATCATAACCCCTAAAAAATAACAGCATAACCACGGATTGAATGATGATATGTGGGGCGAAAAGTCTGTCTGCCTGCCTGCCTGCCTGTCTGTCTGTCTGTTTGTCTGTTCTTGCGTTCGTTCATGCATCCGTCCGTGCTTCCTTCCATGCTTCCGCCCGTCGGCCCATCCGTCCGTTCGTCCGTCTATCTGTGTGTTTGTCTATCCGTTTATCTGTCTGTCTGATACTGCTGGTTTTCCCTGACGCAGGACAAGGTTAGACTAAGAGAAGCTTTGTCCCTAAAAACTGAGATAAGGTTGTAAGGCCACTTATTTGCCATATCAGCGCATAGTTAGTTGGTGAGCATGCGCTTACTGCAGCCATGATCAAGCTCTCTGCGACGCCTCACTTTCGCGACATCACGTCAAATTTCCATGGATCGCGCGGATCGCGAGCTGTTATGGAGATACCATTCATCGTAGTTTTGCTAGATCTGGAAACCAGTAGGTAGCGATCTCCCTTTTCCAGCGACACTTCGCAATCGCACCTTTAAAGAATATTTATCAGAGCCATTTAGCCTTAATCGCCCATGAAATCGGCCGCGTAACACGGGCGCTTCATTTCGATTCTGGCTCCTGTATTATTTTTGATCAAAATCCACAATCATCGATGTATTCATGCAACAATCACCCATACGATGATCCAAACAACATTTACTTATTTATTTCAGCGATACTGCCAGCCTCTCACATGAGGCCTTAGGGCAGGGGTGGGTGATACATAAAAGGTAACGTATTGGAAAACATACCACGCGTACCTAAAGCATTGGGAACTAGTGCATGAAAATGAAGCGCCAGTGCTTAAACAATTGTAGTGTTTTTCGCGTACACGCACAGGAAAAAAGTAGAACGAAGAAGAAAGTAACACAACGATAAGTGCTGGCTTTCGACGTTAAAAGACCATCTGGCCCCCGCCTCGCTCGCTGGGCGTTGAAAATTCAAGATTAGACATACGCGTGGTTATCGGCAGGACGGAAGCATGCTGACCCCCCCACGCCGAAGCCCTTTCTCGTTCCCCCCTGTCCCAGAATGCCACGATGACCCCGATTGGCGAATTCCACATTGTTCATCGCTGAACTTGACACCCTGCTATCGAACAACGCAATGGACCCATGGACGCGTCTCTCCTAAAGCATCTCTCGACACTTCGAACTCACAAAGACCGCGAACGCTTCGGCGCCAATTTCAACATCCGATACGTGACCGCTCTATATCGAAAAGTAAACTACGCCACCAGGAGGGAACGCACAGTGGCTGCTCGTCGTTCCACGAACCCTGAGGTCGCAGATTTGTTACTCTTTTCACGCTGACCCACAATGTGGCCACGCAGGAGTCTCAAGACCTACGAAAGGCTTCGACATCGCTACTACTGGCGTGGCATGTATACCTTCGTCCGCAACTTCGTCCGCTCTTGTGCCGAATGTCAGCGCCGAAAATCTCCACCACGCGCCTCCACCGGTGAACTGCAGCCTTTACCATGCCCTTCCCGACCCTTCGAACGGGTTGGAATAGATATTTATGGGCCACTTCCATTGACTCCGACTGGCAACAGGTGGATAATAGTTGCTATCGACCACCTAACGCGCTATGCTGAGACCGCTGCTCTTAAAACGGCTACAGCACAGGAGGTTGCCACTTTCCTACTGCGTCATTTTGTGTTGCGTCATGGAGGCCCTCAAGATTTCCTCAGTGACCGCGGCCGCGCCTTCTTGTCCGAGGTCATTGAAAAATTGCTCGCTGAGTGTGCTATAGTACATCGCACATGTACCGCTTACCACCCACAAACCAATGGGGCTACCGAGCGCTTTAATCGTACTCTCGGTGACATGCTATCTATGTATGTGACGCCTGACCACTCTAACTGGGACTTAGTTCTCCCATTCATTACATACGCCTACAATACGGCAAACGCAAGCGACAACAGGCTTCTCCCCCTTTTTACCTCCTCTACGGCCGTCACCCCTCCCACACCATT